AGTGTGTACTTGTAGCTGGGATATTAATTGCAGTTAAAGGATATCTGCTGGTAATTCTCTCAGTACAGTGCATTGGACTTTACAAATAGGAGGTGCTCTCACTTACTATCCCTTCTACTGTAAAGAACACTACAACAGAACAACAACTGGTACAACAATCAATTGGGTGAGACCAGCATCAAGAATAAAGCATAGCTTCAGGACAGCTAAGGATAGAAAACAAGTGCTCGTGGGGCCATAAGAAGCCATGCGCAGTTGTGTAACTTGTTTAGAAACCTGAATTTGCATACAAAAAAAAAAAAATCCTTACTCAGGCATAACAGCACCAATATGTACTCAATAAAACATTGATTGGAAAGAGTGAAAATGAGAAAGCTGTGATAAATCTTTATTGTCACTTCTGGTGAAAAGCGAAAGTAAATGAGATGTTCTTTGTCCCAGTAGAACCTAAAATACTGTAACATCTGATAGAAGGATTTAAATACACTGTGACCCCAGAAAGAATGTGGCTGTGTTCTCATCCCAACCCAAGAAACAAAAAGGAAAGTAGGCCTTGCCTGGCAGCTGTATGCTCTGGCATCTATATGTACTTTTAGAGGTATAAAACACTGCTTAATGAGAGACAGAAAAATATATAGGCAAATGATTTCAGCATAGAGGAGGAGCTGCTGAAAGAAATATATTTAAGCCTTGAGAAATTTCTCAAAATGGCAGGGGTATCTTTTATGAGATAAACAGTTCAGAAGACAGAAAGAAAATTGTCTGGCTCCTAGGAAAATGTGCAGAAAACAGAGTGTAAGCAACACATAGCTCACTCATGTTGCAGCTATCACAGGAAACAACAAAAAATGCAGTAATAGAGATGGAGAAGACAAAGAGTACAGTTAAAAGAAAGATGTCTCCTGGCTTCCTCACGTAGATTCAGAGGAACTCATTGTACCATGGAAGACGGATGCCAGCCACTCTGTTTATGTTTGGAACTACACTATCAGTTGGTTATTGGTCACATTCATGTGTAGGAGTAGGGTGAGATATTCATGATGCATGTGTGAATATTTCAAGTTGAAGAGAAAGTCCAGCCTGTAAAGAATCCTGAAAAATCGAGTTAACACATGCAGGGCCTCATGTGCTGAACATGAGACAGGAGAGAGAATGGTCACCGTGGTCTTTCTCAAGTGTTTTCAGAAAATCTAAGGTCATAATTGAAGGAACCACCCACACAAAAGTGAAGTCAGAAGTAAGCCCCATTGTGCATTCAGTGAGAGGGGTGAAATTCAGGGGTTTGCTATAGTGGAACTATGACATAAAGTTGACAAACTTACTAAGAAAAGACATCATTATATCTATTAGATCTTCGGAGAATTACTCAGATGCCTAATTAATGCTGAGGAAAATTTGGAGTAAATGGAGGATCTTCATTTAGCCAAACCACTATCTTTGTAAAGCAGTTGCTGCTTATCACCACCAATGTAGATTGTACTGTCTAATCTATCATCTGTTTAACAGTTTGTGATGCTGAGATTGAGTTTTACTATGAGTAAATGAGTCCTTGAGCAGTATGACGACACTGACCACGCTTTTTGCAAGATAATCACCTGGTCTGCATGTTTATAACTGAGTCTGGAAGGAATACTTGGACAGGCATCTAATGACAGAGTTATTAAAAATGAAGGATATGACAAAAAGAGAGCCAGTGTCACTATGTCAAAAGCAGAATATGAAATTGAAAGTAGATACACAGAACAAAAAAACCCACAAAACTGTGTTTTTCTCTGTTAGCTGATATCTTCAGAGTCTGAAAAACACTCAAAATAAAAGGAGTCCAATCATTTTAGAGACGGTGGGTTTCTAGAATAGAGACCTTTAAAGCTGTTGGGAAAACCAAAAAGCAGAGATAGTTCCTTCTCTGTAGGGCAGCTAAAGCAACACTGTTTTGTTCTGAAGGAGATTGAGAACAGTAGTAATGCAGATCAAGCAGCATGGAATATTTGTTTGAAGATGAGATATATAAAGGAAAAAACAAAGCAGTTCTTTTTGGAATGCAGTTCCAACAGTTTACCGTTTGGCTCCTGATAGCAACGCTATCGACTTTCTTCTCTCAGACTCCACCTGGATGTGTTTCCAGGGAATTCACTAGCTATGAAGATGCACAAAACAGGCCATATCTTCCAGAATATGATAAACACGGCTTTATTGAAACAAAGGCTGCATCTGCCATGGTAGGCTTCAAGCATTCCTTTGAAGAGCAGGCAATAAATAAGTAAATAGTGGAATTCTATAGCAACCATGGCAGTCTGAAGGAGCAATTGCCACAGGAAGATGTTGCATTTTACCCTCTCAGGGATGAGCTGTAAACACAAGATTTTGGATTTTGTCTAAAGAGGACTAAACAACAGTCCTGGAAATTTTCAAAGGAGATAGAAATACAAATGTATATGATATGATGGAAATGCTTATAGAAATATGCATGAAATGAGACAGGTGGTTTGTTAGAACAGATGTGAGCAGTAAACAATTTGAGGCACTTAGATTTCTGACTGACAGTGGGGGACTGACCAGCTTCATGAAAGGCTAGGTGTGGTAAAAATGCCAAGTGGGAAAAAAAAAAAGAGAAAAAGAGTAAAACCTGTTCTGGTGTTCAGACAAGGCTGGCTTCATTCAAGCAAAGACTGTGAAGGGGATTGTGGTACATCTAAAAGCATACTTTGCAAGGTCTGGACTGCAAGACAATGTCTGAAAACTAAACATGCCTGGCAGTATGTTTCAAACAATTTAGCACAAAATAGGCCACGTTAGCTCTAAGAACATCAGAATAGTACATTTGGCAATGAAGAGCTCGCAAAGTGGAAACAATAGACCATGCAATGAATTAGTGAAGACTGATGAAAGCAGTCAAGGACTCGATGCCATTTAGTGATCATGTCTTGCCCAGATATCAAAAATTTATTTGCAACAACAACAAAAACTAAAAACTAGGGGTAGTAGCAGAGTAACCTGTTTAAACAAGTCTCACAGAAAAACAGAAAAAATAAAAGCTCATCTCTACAGGCACTTCAAATTTGTTTCTACTCTCACACTTGTACCCATTGCAACATCAGAATAACCCCAAACACGAGAAATGCTTTTCCATTCTTCTGTGAAAGCTTGGGCCCAGGAGATCAGATACGGCCTCCTTGCGGGAAGGTGACTGACCTGGCAGGATTTCTTTGTTGCTCCTCTGTGCTCCTTCTGGCAGAAAAAAAATGTGGTATGTGCTTTGTGTGGGTTAAGTAAAATTTCATGTTCAGGACACTACTCTGGAGAAACAAGCATTTCATTAGGCAGCTGCCCAGAAGCAACTTAATATGGAAAAGCGAGAAAGCTTGAGAGACTTTAGAGTCTCTAAATAGGGTTTTCCTTGCTGTTTCACACAGTTCCATTTGTGCAGAGACAGGCTTTCATGAAATGTCAGGCTACATTTTACCTCACATACATTGCTGAGGCCGAGAAGTCTGCTGTGGCTGAAATCCCTCCTGCAGAGAAAGGATACCATCCTTGCAAACCTTGCTAGCCAGTAGTTTCATCACTTCCAGACACTTCAGGATGGAAACTTTTTGTCCAACTCTCAACATGGGATGACTGCTAGTCTGCTCAACTTTGTATTGGCCTCACTTTCTCCCTACATTTAACAGTGGTTATGGATACCTTTGGATACATCATGGAGCTTGCGTTCTGAGCCCTGTCAGCACGATGGTTCAGCTTGCCTGCAGCTCAGGGCGATTGGCCCCACTCCCCACACCTGTCCTTTCCTTCTTTGTCATAGGAAAGGCAGTGTGACATCTCACTGACAGTACCACAGCTGTGTGCTGACAGGCCGAGCAGGGCTCACTGCACATCTCTTGGGATGTAGTTCATAGCAAAAGGTGCATATCCTTTTACTGTGAAACTTCACAAGACTTGTGGGACCTCTTCTCTTCGTCTGTATGTTATACAGCCTGCCTGCATAGTCATATTGTGCTACCATTGAAACTGAACGTGAATGTTTAACTGTATATTAATGTATGGTTAGACATGAAGAACTTGGCACATTACCCTCAAGGTATGTTCAACATAAATTACACTGGGCACTTTTGTATCCTACTAGGGAACACAAGATGTTCTGATTTAGTACTCCAGCATAGAGTAAGCCGACCGTATTAGAGATATTCTGAAATTCTTAATAAAAGCTTTTGAACCAATCAAATGATCTTTAAAGGAGCATTGGGAAACTGTCATTTGAGCCTTGTAAAAGTAAACTGGACCAAGCATTAGCAACAGATTTAAAAAGAAAAGAAAAAACAAAGGAATGACAATTGGAAATAATTTGCTGTTGTGAGAGTAGGGAGCATTAATGATTTCTTAGGCCTTTGTTTAATATTAAATGACTTCTTTGAAAGGTGTTTCTTACCCCCCCCCCCCCCCCCCCTCCTTTAATGTAATGAATTCCATAGCAGTGATGAGTAAAGTATTTGGGGACTTTTACCAGGGAATGTTTAGGAGAGATGATGAATGATTATTGGCTTCAGCTACTAATTGACACAGTAATTCTTGCCAAGAGATTTCTCTCTGCTTTTGAAGCTATATTCTAAAAAGGAAAGAGAATTGATTTGTCAGATAACTCACTCATGTTAGGAGACTAACTTAAGCAGCATGAAGGCTTCTAATATCTCATTTCTCTTAAGACATTATCTTCTTCTTGGCTTTGTGTTCTTGTTTACTTCATAATGGGAAAAGGATGTGCAATCTTAATATACTACCTATGAAAATAATTTCAGGATGCAGTTCTTGTCTGCTGAAGTTGGTGAAGCTAGAAGAATATTCTGGCAGCTAGACAGACTGAATACATTCATTTTAAAAAAAAAATAAAAAGTTGGATATGCACAAATGGTGCAAGCTTGCATAGCTACCTTTTCTATAAAATCACTTGCTTTCACCCTGAAAAGGTCAGACAGGTTTATGAAATCAAACAGGGCCTCGGGCCATGTAGCATGATTGTGAGCTAGTCAGCCTCTCATCTGTGCCAAGTAAATTTTGGAAATGATTCTCCTTTGCTGACAGTACCCTCATTACTGATTGTGTAGAGTAATTTATCAGGCATTTCTTAAAATAAACCGTTCATTTATGCTAATAGGACTTGGCAGGGAGGAAAAAATTGGCAGGACTTGAAGTTCCTAGTGTTTTTCTTTTTTAAAACAAAAACTGTAAAGTCCTCAGTACTTTGAGCAACCGTTATCACAGCCATGCATAGAGTTTATTAAAGTGACAAGTAATTGCATAATAAATTTTCAAAATGGGAGAAAATAATTCCTATGTTAAGTTTACAAAAGCAAATAGTTTGGTAGCATTGTAAAAGCGTAGTCATTAGTTTCATACATGGGCATTCTTTATTGGCTAAGCTTCTGGCATTAATGAATCACTTAGCATCTTTTCCATGACTCATCTACTCTGTGTGCAGTACCTCATCTTGAAATATCTCTTTGTTCCTTACCCTTCGTGTATGTTCTGCTTAGTAGCTCCCTCCAAGGAGATGTTTTCTTTCTGCTTCACAGTGGGGCTTGATCCTACAAACACCCATGTGTATCAGTCACTACTGAAACAAGCAGTCCTACTGCCCCTCTGGAACTAGGCAATGCATGCAGTTACTCATATGTGCTGAGGTTTGTAGGAGCCAAGTACAGTCACCATATAGAGCTTAGCTGCTATCCCTTCCAGCTAAACTATTTGTGTGGAGATCATTATATGTAGATCAATGCAGTTTGCATTCAGTTGTCTTCAAATAAGAATTTTCGAATGCATTAGTTCCTGAAAAAGCCATCCTCCTTCCTAGCCCACAAGTCAACTTCCAAAGCTCAAAATGAAGAGAAAGTATGTACTGAAACTCACAAATTAGGTCTGCAACACTGATAAAATGACAGCTGCAGCAAATTGTGACTCACCAAAAAGCAATGCTTTAATCCAATGCCTGCTAAATTGTAAGGGGAAGTCTTCTGTTAACTTCTCTGGTGGTTAGATCTGGTCCTCATTTAATAAGACAAAACTAGATCTCCAGTTCTACATAAATTCTGTGATAAGTTTCCTTTTTTTTTTAACGTATTCTTTTCCTCAGCAAACAGCAAAATCTCTTGCATCTTTGAACAAAACCGAGCAGTGATTTTTTTTTATTGTTCCTTTTTAATGAAAACTAAATATGGCGATGGGTAAATGCAATTAGTACAGAATATACTGTGCTTCTTGCTATAATGACAAATTGAGCATGACACATTGACCCCAAAATTTCCTTCATGCCACAGCCTTTAATTACAAATGCCAGAATCTCAAGCTCTGCAAAGACAAACAAAATAACCAACACCTTGAATTGGAGACTTAGTTCTGTGTATTTTTTATTAATTTATTTTTTTAATAATCCACTAATTTTCAATGAAGCTATGTGATGATACAACTTAGACAACAACTTTAATTTTTTTTCAGTCTCATGATGTCGTATCTGTCCATAGTACAACACTGCAAAGGGTAAACACTCATTAAAATTTTACAAGTCTTCTACTTTTTAGAGTTGAAATTTAAATTTTAAATTTCACTGAACATTCTCTGAACCTGGCCTTTTCCACTATGTGCCTATTACTCACCATTATAATTAGAATGTCGCTGCAGTGTTTCTAAATGTTTCTGTTAATGCTTTCCACTTCTGTCTGCATTCTTTTCATATTGTTTCCTGCCATTAATGCAATAAAAATGTCAGCCACAAATACCAGATTGCTAATGGAAAAGCAAAACAAACTAAAACCACAACCAGCACCACAGCTGAGAGATATTATTTTTCCCTGATACTTCAAATTGTTACGAAGTGCACAATTAATTGAGGTTGCACATACAGTGTATATTACTAGCTAGGTTATATGTGTAGTTCATATAGAGAGATCAGAGGATTCCCTCAGAAGAGGGGCAGTCAGCAGGACAAGGGAGGTGATTCTCCCCCTCTATTCTGCCCTTGTGAGGTCCCAGCCGGATTACTGCATCCAAGTCAGGGGCCCTCAGCACAAGAAAGATGTGGAGCTTTTGAAGAGAGTCCAGAGAAAGGCCATGAAGTTGATCCGAGGGCTGGAGCAGTTCTCCTATGAAGATAGGGTGAAGGAACTGGGCTTGTTCAGCCTGGGAAAGAGAAGGCTGCGGTGAGACCTCATTGTGGCATTCCACTGTTTAGAGCAAGTCTATAAACATGAGGAAAAACAACTTTTTAAAGGCTTAGATAGTGATAGAACAAGGGTGAATGCTTTTAAACTAAAGGAAGGGAGATTTAGATTGAGTGTCAGGGGAAGTTTTTTAGTGAGCGATGAGGTGCTGGAACAGGTTGCTCAGAGAGGTTGAGGATGCCCTATCTCTGGAGATACACAGTTCAACAAGTCCCTGAGCAATCTCACCTAGTACTTGATCTAGCAGCTGGCAAATCTGCCGCGGTAGGAGGGTTGGAAATTGAGGATCCTTGAGGTCCCTTCCTACCAAGCCATTCTATGATTCTATTATCAGAATTACTGAGGCTCACTGTCAGTGGGTTTTTTTTTATGCACAGAAGTGTTTCTTGCATATGTTTTGGTTGGCTGATCAGAGGAAGGTGGTCTCTCAATTAAGTGAGAGAGCCATAATCTGTACTTTCGGCTTCCCATGCTCTTACAGAAATACCTTAATTTTTGGTGTAAGTCTCACCTCGGTGTCAGGGAAGGTTATGGAACATATATCATTGAACATATAATCATGGAGCAGTTAAAGGTGAACCAGGGGATCAGGCCCAGTCAGCATGGGTTCATGAACAGTTGATTCTGTTTGACAAACCTGGTTTCATTCTATGACAAGGTGACCTGTTTAGTGGATGAAGGCAAGGCTGTCGATGTGGTCTAGCTGGACTTCAGTAAAGCCTCTGACACTGTCCCCCCTCAACATCCTTGTGGAGAAGCTGGCTGCCCACGGTTTGGAGGGGTGTACGCTCTGCTGGGTGAAACACTGGCTGGATGGCCGGGCCCAAGGAGTTGTGGTCAGTGGAGTCAAATCCAGTTGGCAATCAGTCACAAGCAGTGCCCCCCAGGGCACGGTACTGGGGCTGTTTCTATGTAACATCTTTATTAATGATCTTGATGAGGGATTGAGTGCACCCTCAGTAAGTTTGCAGACAACACCAAGCTGGGAGGAAGAGCTGATCTGCCAGAGGGGAGAAAGGCACTGCAGAGGGACCTGGACAGACTGCATCAATGGGCCGAGGTTACTGTATGGGTTTCAACAGGGCCAAGTGTCAGGTCCTGCATTTTGGTCACAACAACCCCAGGCAACCCTGCAGGCTTGGGGAGGAGTGGCTGGAAAGCTGCCTGATGGAAAGGGACCTCGGTGTAGTGATGGACAGTGGGCTGAACATGAGCCAGCAGTGTGCCCAGGTGGCCAAGAAGGCCAATGGCATCCTGGCTTGGATCAGGAGTGCTGTGGTGAGCAGGACCAGGGAAGTCATCCTGCCCTGCACTCGGCACTGGTGAGGCCTCATCTCGAGTGCTGTGTTCAGTTTTGGGCACTTCAATGCAATAAGGACATGGAGGTGCTGGAGCAGGTGCAAAGAAGGGCAGCAAGGCTGGGGAAGGGCTTGGAGAATATGGCCTGTGAGGAGAGACTGAAGGAACTGGGGCTGTTCAGTCTGGGGAAGAGGAGGGTTGTTAGAGTTCGGGTAATATGTTTAGGTTGTGGTTGGACTTCATGATCTTTAAGATCTTTTCCAACCTGAACTACTTTATGATTCTGTTATGGATATTCTAATTATTCATTGATGGATAGACTCCCAAATTGCTTCTGCTAATTAAGTTAAAAGGTGCAGAAGAGAAAGTCTAGATGTCTGTTTCCTCCAAGGTAACTTGCCAGCATATTCTGAGGCACTGCCATAAAGCTTTCTGTTTGGGTGCAGTATGAGATATGATGTATGAGTTCTGCCTGCTGGCAGGTTAGCATAGATTTTCTTGGTTTATGTAAAAAACCTGGGTATTCCCTACCTATTTATTCAACCTCTCAGTAAGTGTATTTTGATATATTTGCTATATTTTTGAGGTTCATTACTGTTACACAGCTCATAAGTTCAGCCTGTAAACTTTTCAAAACGAGGGTTGTTTTATGTTAATTGTTTGTGAAGTTCTTGGTTCAAATTGCACCTCTGTCTCAAAAACAGTAGTGGTAACTCAAGTGTGTACTTTGAAGATGCCTTCACATGTTCCATTTTTTAAAGAGAAAGTGACGGAAAATGGTGAGAGGTTCAGAATACAGTGGTACCATGGTGCTTCCCAAAGTTAAGTCCCCGTTCCAAAGCCCCTTGGTGGCATAGGAATTGACCATTACTGGAGAGTAGCCCTGTTTATTTGTTAGCAAGTCTTCACTGCCTGTGGGGAGGCAGCGCTGAGATGTGCTGTGCAGTGATCAGATGTCATCACGTGTAAGCATCAGATAAAAATGCAAGATATACCTACACTGTGTATTTACCTTCTTCCCTTTTCCTCACCGACTAAAAAAACATTTTAAGATGTCTGTCAAGATGCTTTTCCAGGAGCCTTTGCACAGTCGTGTTTAATTTGACATCACATGATTAAGAAAAAATTAAGTGCCGCTGAATTCTGTTTTCAAAGTCTCAGCATGGACCTTCCAGCTACAGTAATATTTCAGTAGTTCCATCTGTTCCATCGACAATAGGACTGAAAACTATTAACATTCATGAAGTTCCGTGTTCAAGACCTTTCATTTGAAGATACAAATGTAATACCAGGCAAAGTTAAAGTTGAAAAGGTTATCCTTTATCTTCTCAAACCAAAGGCAAAGAAATCCTAATCTAATTTACTTTGCATGGGTATATGATATTTTTTGGCCTCCCTAGAAAATGACTGGTCCTCATTTTTCTCCAGCTGTAAGTAATATGACTTAAATAGCTCAGTGTAGCAGCTCTATTATTTACTGGTCAAAAACATTACAAGTGATTGAAGGGTTTTCTATGAAAGAGGTGGCTGGGAATTTTTCTCATTTGCTTCCAATTGGAAGTTTAATTCTAGTGGCATATTGCAGGGACAGTGTACAAGGGCTGCTCCCAAAGTAATGCCTCCTATTTTAATATGTTAGCCCATGGGGTCAGAAGTGGATAATGGTGGCATGGTAATAAGAGTATAGCCTTCCTTCTAACATTCCATTACATTTTGTTTCTGTGCGACAAAGGCAGCAGAGGGGAAGACTGGCAAAATGGTGTCTGACATGGAAGTGAGTGTGAAGCAAAGTTGTGTCACTGAATTCCTCCATGAGGAAGAAAAGGAATGAGCTGACATTCATCAGTGCTTGATGAACGTTTATGGAGACCAAACAATGGGTGCTAAGTAGTGAGTGGTGCATTTCAGCAATGACAGCAGTGATGTGAAAGACAAACCATGTTCTGGATGGCACAGCTGTCACACCACAAAATGAAGAGCATCTCGATCAGCTCATCCATGCAGATCAGCTAATGGTGGTGACTGTGTTGAAAAAGAGCATTTAGTAGCTGAGAATTTGCTGCATGAAATTATGTTATTATACTCTTTGTACCTGTCATAGTTTCCATGGAAATAAATAGGAAGTGTTACTTTTGGAGTGACCTGTGTAAATCCACAAACAGAAAATTAGGAAAAAAAAAAAAACCAACAGCATTTTCTTTTGTAGTTTACATTTGGGGTGTTTTCTCAAGTTCATGAGTACTTAGTGTGTTTCAAACTTTCAGGCTTTACAGAAATTATTTTTGCATGCCAAGCTTCTCACATAGTTATGATTTTTAGATACTGCTTCCTGGTCTAAAAGTAATCAACCTCACTGAGGCAGGGTAAACGATATGAGAGACCAGACAGGGATATCCAGGAAGTCTCAAGACCCACAGAGGTTGTTGTTAGCAAGATGTTTTTTACACTCTGGTTTCCCCAGTGGAAAGGGAAAAGGGCTGCAGGCCATAAACTTTTTGAGATCCAAGATAATTCCTTTGCATGACACCTGAAAACCTTGAGCAGCATTAAGTCAGCCCCTAACCTGTATTGGTGCATGCATTTATTTATCTCCAAGCAAAGGACTCGACCTACCTCTGAAGTTTCCTCTCCATCCAACTCCCCAGCCTGTCCAGGTCTTGCTGCCATTCCTCCCAGCTTTATATCTTCAGACTTGGTGAGGGTGCACCTCTATCCCTTCATCCAGTTCACTGATGAAGATGTTGAACAAGATCAGACACAGCACCAATCCCTGGGGAACATGAAGAGATTTGATTGAAACAATTTGAAATCTGGCTAGTTAATCTTGTACATTGCAAGCAGAACAGAAACCTATTACAATTACGTAGCACCGTGTTCAAGCAATTTCACATGAAAGACAAGTGCAATACTGAGTAGTAGAGAAGGCATGATGCTGATGAAGCCTGATTGTGATCCCACCCTAGTTTTTGCCTTCTTGTGGTTTTTTATCCTTTTCCCTGTGTTTAATATTGAGCTCTCCTCTCTCACTCCCTCCCCGATTAAAGGAACTTATTGAAATACCAGTTTTACCTTTACATGGTCTTTAATCTTAAGTCGTCAAGACAGTATTAGAATAGGAGCCTACTGGTGAGATTGACTGGTGGGAAGGAAATACTGAAATTATCTACATTTATATTGTCTATATATGATCTGAAGAAGTGAATCATGCTGGCCATAGTGGGCTCGGTGCTGAACTGAGACCAGGACCTTGTGTCTTTGGCTGAGTCTTGAAAAGCCTCAAGGAGACACAACCTCTTGTGAAATCTGCTGTCTGAAGGCAGGCTGTGCTGGAGCACTGGGAAATCCCTTGTTTTCTTTCAATTATGGTATTGCCAGGTGTTATCTGAAACAATAGTAAGGGGGGAAAAAAAGGTATTATTTAAAAATTGACAATATCACCTTAAAATGATTATTTTCTGAATGTTTTATATGACTGCTTTGGAACAGTAACACATGCACATATTCCTCCAGCTGTACAGTAAAATTTATGAATCTCACACTTCTGGCACCATTGGTATCACTGTAAGGACAATAGTTTTGCATGAGTAATTTTGGTATTGTTGCATTTTATGGCTTTTACAGTGAAAAGGGTTAAAAGGGATGGAAACCAACAACAACAACAACAGCTTTTATTTTAACTACATCTTTTTGTTTTTAAGCTAATAACATCATACATGTGCTATTTAAATATTCCTAGAGAATACAAGTTTTACTGTCTGCAGTTTTATCTAGAAGAGAAATTCATTGTTAAAAGCTGTTCTTCTTGGACGAAACCTTTTAATCTCAGAGGGAATTGAGAATCTATCTCAAAGCTGCTTTCCTTCTCTTTATGCTGCTGTTCATCAGTGATGTTCAAGCCAGTGCAGTTGACTTTTGTCAGATGTATTCCATTCAAATTAGCTTTTTTCTTTTCTTTTCCTTTTTTTTCCCCCCAGTCTTTTGTCAAATCAGCTGTTGGCTCATTCGACGCTGTCCCTTAGCTCACTTGTTTCACCCCTGTTCCCAGCTACATTATTTATGGAGTCAGCCACAGCTGGCTGAGCACCTTATGAAAAATTCTTGTGATCATATGAACTTTCTCAGTTGCAAATGGTGATTCTGCTTTGTATCTGCCATCTTCTTGCTTTTGCGGCATTTCTTTTAACTGATAAGCACCTCAGTTAACTTTTCATCACTTTTAACATCCAACTCTGCTCTTCTCCTGCTGCTTTCTCTTTTATTTTCTGCTCCATCCTTCAATTTCTTTCTTTGCCTCTGTAGATGTATCATTTCCCTGCCTTAGGTTGCTCCTTCCCCTTTTCTTATCTTAGCTATTATCTTTTTTCTAATCTGTAGCTCTCCCCAAGCTCATTTTAAGCATAGCTCTTGCATACTCAAGAAATTAAAGTAATCATCGTGGGACAGCGAGAAGGACTTGATCTCATTCTATTTCTTTCATATGACAATAACCAAAGTTTGGCTCACTCAGCATATAAGAAATGGGAAAAAAAACACTAACAAAAACAAAGCAAACAAAAAGCAACAAAAGCTTCCCCTTCTGATGATTTCTTTTATTGATTTAGTACTTCACTACTACTTCATCCAGAAAAATTAGTTGAAAATTCTTTTATCCTTGCTCTCTCTTTTAGTAGAACTCACTACAGAACCCCTGATGGTGAAATTTTGGTTCACGCTGTCTTCCCCCTGAAGTATCACAGTTCACTTCTCAGTCCCAAGAAGTGCATTGTGTTTTCATTTGGGATACAAGAGAGATCCTTGATGGCTGGAAAACTGTGCGCCTATGATAACAAACCACTTTGAATGGAAACTTTGCATTCACATTCTCAAGAAACAAGTATAATTGAAGAAGGACCTTTTAAGAATTCTGTGAACTAAATTAAATGCCCCCTTTTTTTGAGAGCTGTGAACTCAAATCCTGCCCTTATGATTCACTATTGCATTTTCGTTTCTCTGAGTGACCCAGCTGGAGTCTTGCCTTTTCCTCACTACTCTGCCAAGGAACCTTTGTGCTGAATCACTGACTATTTCTACTGTAATTGGATTGGACTTCTAGGGTGAGGGGTGTGCTGAATACTTCTATTTTTTTGCCTGCTAATTGTTTTCCCTGTTTCATGGGGCATTTTCTTGAGATTTTCTGTGCTCCTGTAATAACAGATTTGGAGCTGAGCATGCAGAAAAATGAGAAATATTTCCAGTTGTTTTATTTCTCAAATGTTGCTTGTCAGCTAGGAAACATTCAGAAAATTCTGAACAGTTTTTCTCCTTGCTGAAGAGGGAGTTTTAGACTACATTAAGACTTCCTGTAGCTAATTACAAGGAGTGCTCCAAAAGCAATGCCTCCTATTTTATTACACTGGCTCACCATGTCAGAGACATTGGTGATATGTCGGTAGAGGTTGAACCTTCCTGTCAGTATCCCATTTCATTTTGTTGCTGTGTGACAGATGGCAGCAGAGGGGCAGTCTGACCAAATGACGTCCGACATGGAAGTGACAATGAAGCAAAGGTGTGTCACTGAATTCCTCCATGTGGAAGAAATGGCAGCCATTGACATGAACTGATGTTGAACATTTATAGGAGCCAAACAGTGCATGTGAGGCAGTGCGTTGTGCAGTGGCAAAAGCAAAGTGGAAGACACAGCAAGTGCCAGATGGCCATGCAAATTTTTGCAAGAGCAGCACACAGGCTCTTGTTCATCTGTGCTTACCTAATGATGATGTCACCATGTTGAAAAAGAGTGTTTAGTAGCTGAGAATTTGCTCTGTCAGATAGTGGTATCGTGCTCGTCATGTATGTTATAGTTTCCATAGAATTAAATAAGAGGCATTCATTTTGGAATGACCTATCTGAATGTAAAAATATTCTCAAACATTTTTCCTCACAGTTATTTCAGCCAAGATTTGTGTTTATCCCTTTATTGGTCCTTTTAGAGTAAACAAGAAAGAATAGAGTCGTCATGCTTAAATTGCCCTATTCCCTCCTTCCCAGGCAAATCAAGGGTGTCTCAGCAGCAGAAGAATGAAGTACAATTGTGTGGGAGAGGAAGATGACATGAACCAGTATACTGGCTTTTTTATTAGGAGCTCTGTTCCTTCACACTGCTCTTTGCAGCAAAAACAAGACATTTTTAGCAGATGAGTTGACACTGTAGTAAACTTTGCACTGAGGAGCTGTTTCCAGAAATGCATGTGTGTGCACTAACACACAGCCTGCTAAAACTACACCAGCAAAGGATGGAACCAATCTAGAGAAGGAAGGTAAAGATGCAGGCATAGCTGAAGAAGACATGCATGTAAGTGTAGTTGTTCTGTGAATATGGCGAAACTTTCTGTTATAGATAGAAAGATGAGAGTCACTCACATTTTGGGGAGAAGAGGACAAAGAACAAAAAATATAAGAAGCTTGTGGCTTCAGTGGCTCCTCGATGCTAAACAGTCCACTTATGACTTGCTGCAATAGAAAAGCAGATCTTCTACAGAGATGAAAATAAGAAGTAGTATAGATATGCCCACTGTGGTGAGGAAAGGCAATACAAGGTTATCTCAGTATCAAGTCCCATGGATTTTGGTCTCAGTTCTTCCACCTCTCGTATTGCCTTTGAACTTTAACACTTGCTTCTCGACCAAGTTTTAAATGTTTGATTAGGAGCGTGTCTATGTGAATGTGAGCCTGAGAGAACATCTGATTGTTTTAAAGTCTTTGAGAACAACTCCTGGAAAAATATAAATATATAAATAAAAAAGAACGAAAGTGTTGTCTGATAAAGGAAATCCTTCACTATTCATAAAATATTTGGGTTATTTGAGAAAAGAGGAAATTGCTAAGGATTAGGTTTACAGCACATGAGCATGTCTCAGAAGTGCTACTCTGTAAAGCTTGTCAAGGAAAAAAAAAAGAGGGGAAAATAAATCCCAGTAGGCTTCCAGAGTTTTGCATCCTGTAGTTTATTACATCTGTCAGTAAAAGCAGAAAGGATTATGGAAGTAGATTTATTAATTTTATGAAATCCTGGCACGAAGGATTGGTGGCCCTCTGATAGAAAACGAAGTGGAAATATTTTGCAAAAGACAGACATTGTGTGTACTTGCAGTGAAAAGTTATTACTGCAGCAAACCTGCTGCATATAAATCGTTGTAGCAAATCTCCCTTGGAAGTTACTTGCCTTAAAGTCTATGGGATTATGTTTTATGTCTCCTTGCATAAAGGAAAATCCTTGGTTTCAGTGGGTGTTCACATTCCTGAGGCAATGTACAGAATTAGAATAGCTAATCATAACTGTTTGGGAAAAATTTCCTTTTGGTGTTTTAGAATTTGTTATTAATGGCTTAAAGGCACATTCTCTTCTCAGTTGAAAGGCTGATTTTCTCTACTTTCAGTGTCCCATCCTTTGTATAAGGTGTCGTTTGGAAGACCTTAAAATATTTGATCCTTTTCAGGATCTGTCCTCTGCAGGTTGAGAGGAAACTGAGAATAGGACAGTAGACTGTGTTAAAAAAAAGGTGTTAACTGAAACACGATTGGACCATTTATAAAGGCAGTCTGTTTTTCATTTCAAAGGCAGAGTTCATCACATATGAGAGAAAAATACTGCTATTGGGATCTGAATTGCTGAAAGCCTTTTTTTCTTTTTTTTTCTTCTTTTTTTTTCTTTTTCCCAAATTTCTTAGGTCATATCCATTATTTAGCATTTTTAGACTACTTGCATAGAATCTCTTCACAGACTCTGGTCTGATGTAGTAGTTGGGTATCACCTGCAGTTTTATCACCTGCAGAGATGGCAGCTTTCTCTCTAAATATTAAGCGTGTGCAAAATTAAGTATTTCGGGCATGGTTAATGAAGTTGCATTTCCACAGAGGAGAAGCTTAATGACTTCTGGGACTTGTCATAGAGGCTGAATCACAGAATCACAGAATCACTCGGGTTGGAAGGGACCTCAAGGATCATGTAGTTCCAACCCCCCTGCCTAGCAGGGCCATCAAACACACACATTCAGATCAGGTTGCCCAGGACCCCGTCCAACCTGGCCTTGAACACGTCCAAGGACGGGGCATCCACAACCTCCCTGGGCAGCCCGTTTCAGGGCCTAACTACTCTCCTTGTGAATAACTTCCCCCTAACATCCAACCTAAATCTTCCCTCCTTCAACTTGGATCCATTTCCCCTAGTCCTGCTGTTGTCAGCCCTTTTGAAGAGTTTACTCCCCTCCTGGCTGTAGGTTCCCTTCAGGTATTGATAGGCTGCAATGAGGTCACCCCTTCTCTTCTCCAGGCTGAACAAGCCCAACTCCCTCAGCCTGTCCTCATAGGGGAGGTGCTCCAGCCCCCTGATCATCTTAGTCGCCCTCCTCTGGACCCTTTCCAAGATCTCTCTGTCTTTCTTGTACTGAGGGCTCCACACCTGGACACAGGACTCCAGATGGGGCCTCACAAGAGCCGAGTAGAGAGGGACAATCACCTCCCTGTCCCTGCTGACCACCCCTCTCCTGATGGAGCCCAGTGTCCCATTTGCCTTTCGAGCTGCCAGAGCGCACTGCTGGCTCATGTTCAGTCTCTCGTCCATCAGGACCCCGAGGTCCTTCTCTGCCGAGCTGCTCTCAAGGACCACTCCTCCCAGCCTGTACGGGTGCCTGGGGTGCCTGAAATGGCAGCTTTACTTTTGCCTTTCTTCTAAATAACTGGTATTGTAATATGGCCTAAGTATAGCAGTCTATTGCCTTTTTAAATTCTGTTTTATTTATTTTTTTTTAAACCTCCAGTACTAATTAATTAAATTCATCTAAAATTAAAGTTTCATCTAAAATGAAAAAGTAAAATCGGCTTCATTGGTTCCAATGTTGTATTATTTATGTATTTATTGTGTCAATTTAACTGAAAAACTCTGCTCTTGTTTGCCTAACATACTGTAATGGATCTGTTACTGTTGCCTTTAAGTAGTATACAAACTCATAAACCTTGGCAACTTCAGAACCACTTAAGGATTGTTATCCAAGTTCTACAGAAAAAAAGAACAATTTCCCAGTGGTTACTCAAAGGCTACTCATGACAGCGAAAATTAATTAATTTCAGATGTGGATGTCCTTGACTACCCAGTCATCACTGGCCCATCCTTTCCTCCTTGCAGAGGAGATAGGCATATGGCCATGGAACAGAAAAAGCTGAACAGCACAATACTATGGAAAGTTTAATAGCCCTCAGTGGTTGCAGCACTGCATAGAATCATACAATCATGGAATTGTTAAGGTTGGAAAAGACCTTAAAGATCATTGAGTCCAACCACAATCCAACCATACTGCCCTAACTCTAACAACCCTCTGCTAAATCACGTCCCTGAGCACCATATCCAAATGGTTTTTAAACACAGTCAGGGATGGTGACTCAACCACCTTCCTGGGGAGCCTATTCCAGTGATTCACAGCCCTTTCTGTAAAGAAGTTTTTCCTGATATCCAACCTAAACCTCCCCTGGTGCAACTTCAGGCCAATTCCCCTCGTCCTGTGACTAGTGAGAAGAGGCCAACCCCACTCTCACTGTGAGCACCTTTCAGGTATTTGAAGAGAGCAGTAAGGTCTTCCCTCAGCCTCTTGTCAAAGTGTCAAAGGCTTTACTGAAGTTCAGCTAGACCACATCGACAGCCTTGCCTTCATCCACTAAGCAGGTCACCTTGTCATAGAATGAAACCAGGTTTGTCAAACAGGATCTACCATTGGTAAACCCATGCTGACTGGGCCTGATCCCCTGGTTCACCTTGTACTGGTCTATGATGGCTCCCCAGATTATCCATTCCATAATCTTCCCCGGCACCAAGGTGAGACTGATAGGTCTGTAGCTACCAAGATTGTCTTTCTGGCCCTTTTTGAAGATGGGTGTCACATTTGCCAGTCTCCCATCCACCAGGTCATTTCTGGTTAGCCAGGACTGCCAAAGGATGATGGAGAGTGGCTTGGCAACCACATCTGTCAAGTCCCTCAGCACACCAGGGTGCAATCCATCTGGCATAATCCATGGACTTGTGAGCATCCAGTTTTCAGAACAGGTCCAAAACCATCTCATGGTGGATTATGCAGGGCCTATTCAGTTCCCCATCCCTACCTACCAGTGCAGTGGGCTGTGCTCAGGGAGCAATTAGTCTTACTATTAAAGAATGAGGCAAAGAAGGGATTAAGTAGCTCAGCCTTATCCTGATCCTTGGTCAGCATGTTGCCCTCAGCATCCAACAAGGGCTAGAGATTCTCGCTAGCCCTCCTCTTGCTGTTGATGTATTTATAGCAGTATGTATTGTTTTCCTTTATGTTAGTGTCCAAGTTGAGTTCTAGTTGGGCTTTGGCTTTTCTAATTTTCTCCCTGCACAGCTTCACTACATACCTGTAATCATTATAAGTCGCTTGCCCATTCTTCCAGAGAGCGTAAGCTTTCCTTCTGCTCTTGAGTTCCAGCCAAAGGTCTCTGTTCAGCCATTGCTCTGCAACTGCAGTGCTCCTTGCAAGTGTTCTCTGATTCTTCACAGTAGCCTGAATTTTTAGTTAGCAAATACTGTTATTGCTGTATAATGGCTAGGGAGATCACGTCGTTTGGGCGCATGCTGAAATAGCTTGCTGCTTCATAATTTGTGTGCCAAGTTGGTGAAAGTGGTAGAATTTTATGGTTTTATGTCCAATGGTTATTCTCCATCAGATTTCTACTGGAAATGTCAAAGATACTATGTCATGCAGGTCAGGCTTTTTTTGGAAGGAAGTGATCCAAAAACATCTGCCTGCTTTTGTTGGTTATATTCTCCAAGTGGGCAGAACGCATCTGAAAATCTCATAATCTCACTAATGAAAATATTTATATGTGTGCTACATAAAGATGATTTATGTGTGTGACATCTATGGAAAATGTCACATAGAACATCTCATTGTATGAGTGCAAGCATGTAGGAATCTATATAATCAGTATATCTAAGTCCCACCAGAAACACTGTTTATTAGGATTACTTCTTAGGCACAATGTATTACAGTTCTGTAGTTTTTCCTACTTTCTTTTTTTTTTTTTTTTTTTTTTTTTTTTTGTCTTTTTTAACAATTCTAAAAAGTATGTTGCTACATTGAAGAGAATATTTGATTCACACTTCAAGGCAGATATCACACCTTACAGTTCAATCTTGTAATAAACTTAAATCCTCTGATATTTCTATCAAAATTTCTGAGCCTTGGAAGAGGCGGATTTCTAATTATTCGCGTTCCTATGCTACAGTACTATAGTGCAGTCTAAGAATTTCTCCATGTGATCATAGGGCTATTATTATTATTGATTTTACCATATCTGGATCAGTATTCAGATGTCGATTAACTTAAGTAACTTTTCTAAAAGCTTAATAATGTTCCTTTATTTTCCCAAATTCACAGTCACTCTCTTTTCCTCCATTTCTTTCCTTCCTTTCTTAAGAGGTTTTCTGTAACTATAATTTCTCCCTGACAAGATAATGTTAACTTGATGTAGCTTCTAAGGAAAATTGCCCAGCATTTGTGTGTTCTTATTCTGTATTTTGTTCATAACTCATATATACCAAACTGAAGGATTTAAAGTCAGCAGTGGCTTACTGTGCCCACAATGTCTGTTTGTGGTCTTTCTGAAGGGGACCTTATTTCTGAAGTTCTCAAAATATCTCTATATAACATGTAGACTGAAAATATCTAGGTTCCTAATGTTACGTTTTACAGTGTGCTTAAAAGATGTTTGTTGAATCTGGTCCTAAGTCTTTCATTTCAAAGTGGCACTATTTATGGCCTTTAAGTTAATTGGGGGAGTCAAAGCTTAATTTAAAAATGAGATCTGAATCCTGTTAAAAGCTGTTCAAGTTGTAAAATATACCTTAGTATGAAGGATAATGAGGAGATATCCACTGTTTTAATTAAGACTAATTGGAAACACTGTGATTTTTCCTTCAACCCACACTCCAAGAACATCCAATGTGAGCAGCTTCTGTGAAGCTTATGGGTTTGTTTGTACGCAGATGTAAGGATTATTTGCGTGCTGCCATTCACCAGTGCCTTCAACAGCAGTTTCCACATGTCACGGAAAGCACACCATATAAACAGACGTGTTTTCTCCATGTATGCAGTGTCTATAAACTAAGCAGAGCATAACTGTTTTAATAGAAATGGGCCAACATTCAACAACATTTTTAAAAGGATTCAGAAGGCTTTACAAAGGAGGACTGCTACTGAGCAAAAATAATAATTAAAATAAACTTCTCAAACCTGATAAGTGATAAGGGATACTTTGGATTTGGTTCCACAGCTGACATTGCATTAAAGACTGAATTTCAGAGAGTGTGCTTTCTTCACGCTGATTAGGCCTACCAGGGGCATCTCAGATCCAGGAGCAAAGACATTATGAGTTTGTGTGCAGACATTTGGGAAAACTGTTGCTGTGTTTCTCTCTAGTCACATTCTGAGTCAAAACTGGTTGGAGAAAGAGTTGGGGGGGAAGGGTACACTCATCTGAATTAAGCTGTCACAGTGCCATACTTAACAAATTGAGTATTTAGACGTTTTGTATAGAGAGTCCACTACTATTGGTTTACCTAGGAGCATGAGTGAACATGCCAAGGTCATGTCTTTCCTCTGTGTCACCCAGTAAAATAAAGGTTGCATTTCTTTAATTAGAAATCTTGTTTCTCATATCCAATACAGAAGACTGTAGTACCCTAGGATTGATTTTACATCTACATAAACAACATATTTCCAGAGTTCTAAATAATGCAAAATTAAATAAATGACATCAGACAGAACTGTGAAAATTATTTTACTCTGTCTTGAAGTCCACACATTTTGTTATTCTATTTTATTTCTTTATCTGAGTCTGCTTCTACTTTTGTTTGTGGTTACCCTCTAGGAAGGCTGGATAAGTCAGGCACAGAAATGACAAAAAATCATTTTGTGTGTTGAATTGACAGCCTATCTTTCAGTATAAATTCAGATTCTGCTAGCACTTTTAGAAGTCATTAGTGCTTTGCTAAATTTTCCCACACCTGCTTAAAATATGTTGGTTGCAGTGCATGCTGCAAAGTGGGTTTACTTGGCTTCTCATTAAGGATAAAACCCAGCTGCAGAGTTCTAACAAATCCAGAGCAAGAATTCAGCTAATATACACTGGTTAGTCAGAAGTGCAGGCTTATCTTTCTTTGTTTCTCAAGTATTGCTTTGAATGTACAATGTGTAACTGGTCAGCTTATGTGAGAAAAAGATTAGGGAGTTTGCTGCTTAATGAAGGAACTGAAAAAGTGCAAATAAACAAGAATGTGATGCGTTCGTATTGTTGAATATTTAAGGTCAGTAGAACTTTTTGGAGAAGCAGTGGGAGAAGGAGAGAGGGAGAATAAGCTTTAGGGTTCAATGGAAAGTGCTGTGGGGAGCTGTGGGCTTTGGGAACAAGAAAGAGCATTGAAGGTTGATGAGTAATTGAGTTGCATGGGATGTAATATCTCATGGCGTATTAAGTTGCTTATGGTGATTATCCTCAGGATATTAGAGTAGGCGTTGGTTAATGGGAGACTAGGGAGGGGGATTTGGGAAGAATAGGGGAGTATGCATTTGAGGAGCATGGGATAGTGGAGCTAGATGGCAAATTGTTAGAGGCTGGGAGAGTGTCCTGGGAAACTAATGGATATTCTTGCTCTATTCACATACACTTCCAAAAACAGGAGGAGAACTCATGAACTGAGCCACTATGGGTGTTTCTCAGTCTTTATATTAGCTTTTAGAGTCTGTATGGAAGGGGAGATGCTTCCCCAAGCATCGTTAAGTGACAAAGGAGAACAGAAAGTACTGCCAACAGGGAAGATATGGGAATAACCTAGACCTTGCTGTGGTAACAGCAGATTGGTCAGGATACCTTAGCATAAAGGCAGGTAGGAGTTAGGATGTGGTAGGAACAGGAGGTAAGGATGGGAAGTGTTTGTTACAGCCCAACTTTATCCCATGTTCAAGTTCTGTATTTTCCCAAATTGCAATCTGTTTTCCTGAGCTCTCAAACTTAAGAAATATTTACTGCCCTGGTTCACTGTTCATATTGCCTCTCTTCATTCTCTCCCTTCACCCAGCTAACTTTTCTGGTAGGTTTACTAATGCTTTTTGGGGATTTGGTTAAAATATTTCAGTGTACGCTACAGGGCGCTTGATTGGGTGATACTTCTTGTGGGGTCTGCAGCCACTGACACAACCGTAAAAACTGAGTTAAATCAACAAAAGGCATTGTGTAACAATCTAGATCTTCTTGAAAACTGAAGTTGTTTCCAGCATCTTCAGTAAGTTTTAATACTGTATGTTTGTTAGCAAATGGGATTTTGACTAGAGAGCCCTAAGATGAGATGCAAGCAGAATAATTTCTGAAAGGTTTCCTCCATGTTTGTGGCTGGCAGTCTGATATGTGCCCCCCGGTATACCCATAGATTTGGGGGCCAGCTGTTTCTTGCAGCTTGCCAGTGAAGTCTGGTTCACATCAGTGATGTCAGCCACACCTCAGTGTGCATGTCCACAGCAATGAGAGGCATTATAGTGAAATGTTACATACAAGCATGTATGATTGGAAACGTTTTGAATTTCTGTGTGTTTGTAAAATTAGAATGATCCTAAGATATTTAGTCAAAGTGATGGTTCATTTTTCACCCCTAAGTTTGAGCGCTACTTATTTGGAGGAGGTACACAATTCATTGCATTCAGCACAATGGCTTCTGCCTTCAAAGAGCAACTAAATGCTAAGCTGTTCTGGAGCCACTAAAATCTCAATAATGCTTCTTGACAGCTAGTTATTATTTAATTTTAATCAAATTATGTTGCGCAGACATGCTTTAGTAAGGGAACCTAAATATTCCAATCAAGATCAGGGCTATAACATTCAAGGGTGTGCAGACAGAAACCAACATGTGTTTTCTTCTACATTATGGGAAACAGTTTCCACCCAAGAGTTAGCTAAAAGTTTAATCCTGCAATTAGAATGCTCTGTGCCCAGAAACTATCACTTAGAGCGCAGCAAAACAGATGGATTTAGAATTAAAAGAAAATATCTCCCACAACAGAGCGATGCTCAATTTATCAGATATCACTTGGGGCAATGGTTCATACTCATCTGAAGTCGCTCTGGGAGACGGGATATCAGGAAATTAATATTTGTATTTCATTCCAGTACAAAATGGAGCCCGTTATGTCAGACATAAACAAATAGTAAGAGAGAACTCCAGTCTCTAGAAGACTAACAAAACTGTAGGAAAAACAAAAGGGTATGGCAAAGGAAAAGTGACTTGCCTGTGATCACAAAATCGTTTGGTTACAGAGCAAGGAGCCAGATCCTCTGCTTAGATTCTCAGCTTCTGCAATCTTCGGAATCTTCAGCTTCTGTTCTGCAATTGACCTTACTATTTCTAAACATTTTACTAGATTATTGTTAGCTTCTTCTGACAGTTTTGTTTGCTTTTTATTTAATGTATTCATAGCTTTCTTTTGTGTTTGGTGTTGTGTGTCAAAGTTGCTATCTGGAGAGTAAGTCTAAGGAGAGGTGTTGTGCTACTGACCCTACTTATGTGAGAAGAACAGAAGAGTAACAGATCTATAATTCAGGCAGATTTAAATGTTTCTATATCACAGCAAGCAGTTCTTCTTAAAAGATTTATGTTATTAAAAAATATACCAACAAGGATTACTTTAAGCAAAAACAGCAGCTGGCTTTGAAATTAATGAAAATAATCTGCAACAGGTACATATATGAAGTATGAAGTAATTCCTGGCATTCTTCAGTTGATACAGTATCTTAGAGTTGGGAGAAAGAATTAGAATCCAGGAAAGCTACTCAAAATATTTTATTTTATGATTTTTTTTTTTCCCCGCAAATGGATGAACAAGCATTACAAACATGCTCTACACCTGTAAAATCTAGTTATATGGCAGGTAACCAGGGAATATTCTGTGTTTTAAAATGAAATCTGCACATTGAATCAGGCAGAGAACAGCTGGCTTAGAAATCAGCCTGAGAATCAGAATAATCTATGAAAGGTATTTGTGTTAGCATTAAACATTTTTGCATGCTGTCAGTACAAAAGATAGCCTCTGAGCTTTGTGGATTAAGGAAGTGACTGGTATGACCTTCTGGAATTGGGCTGCCTCGTTAAGAATGGAAAACTCAATTAAAACTTAGTTATGAGAAAGCTACGTGAGACCTTGTGATTTACTACTGCACAATGCAGGTTTATGTGTTAAAAGGGAGAATTTTCAGTCAAATTTCTGTTGAGTTGTTAGAGAATAAAGATATGGTCGTGCCTGCAGCAAGTCATTGCTTTTTGAGCAAGAATTCCATTCCAGTATGCATGTGTATGTGATACACAATAGAAAGGAAAATGAGAAAAAGAAGCTTTCTCTAGCAGTTAAGTAGAAATACACTTAGAACATTAGCTAAAGCACAAACCAGGGTGTGAAATTCCTGTATGTAAGAAAAAAAACAGTGAAAAAGAAATGGTTAAATCATAACTGTGTTTAGGGGGAATCTATGAGCACCAAGACAGTGCAGGCACTCACTCATTACAGCATCTCTAATTCTAACGTTAGGATGTGATACCATTTGTTCTATGCACAAATGGGAATTGACACAGCTATTTTTAATCCAAACTGCTAGATGTATGTGTGTAAAATGAATACTTTCCCTTGGATTTTGCTTGAAACCAAGTCTATACAAAATCATTTATGTTTACTCAACACAGGAAATTATAAGAGAAAATTAAGTAAATCAGATTATCCGAAAAGCTAAAATTAAATGGAAACAAAAACTGTTAATATGGAACAAACGTGCCCACACACAGATTTACTCCAAAATAACTAATTGCATGAAGTAAAACCAACTGTTACATTGGTTCCAGTTTTTTGTGGGTGCATAAGCCCTGGGACCTCTGGCAATTAAAATGTAATTGTTATTGTGATGCAAATATTTAAATCCATTGTGATGCCTTTCAAATTGCAATGGTAGTGTGAAGTAGACAGGGCACTGCTGAAAAAGAGGCCAGAGACTGCCAGCCCCTTCATATTTAATAAGGATTTTTAGGAGATTGCACTTTCCAATCATATGAGGTAAAAGAAAGAGGAGAGTTGAAGGTTTTGCAGTGAAAAAGCAGATTGTGGAAAGCAGAAGAAATACAGTAAATGAAAACCCACAAGTGCAAATGGCAAAGGATCAAAGGTGAGGGGCTGTGTAGGAGAGAGGTGCTACTGATGCTCCCAGACATTCAGGGATGGAAAAATTCCATTAAAACTAAGCACCTGCTGCTTAAGATTAGGGTTCAAAAATTACAAACCACGTCAGTGAAAGCATTTTGCTATGCCGTTTAAGGGAGATCTGAAGAAAGCAGCCAAAATATCAGGAGGTGGAAAAAGAGAGAACGGGGAAATATTTTAATGAAACTGATCTGTGCACATTTAAGATGGGATATTGCTTATGCGAGGCTGGTTTCAATCTGATTTTAATTTTTGTTTCCCAGCTTTTTAGTTGTCTCCTTGGGCAAAAAGAGTCTGTTTAGTTTAGTAAGGGGATAGGCAAGCGAGCTTTGGATGGCTTCCTAACCTTGTGCCTCATTCCTCTTCATGGGTGTGTCTGACTTAAATTTCTGTTTCTTAATCCTACTTGAGTCTTTGCGGGTGAGGAGAGATGATTTCTGACTCTTTTGCCCGTTGTAGGGTGGAAGGCAACACTGAAATCCCTTCTGACAGAGCAAAGGCTGGCAAGTATTAGAAACCACAAGAACTTTGATACAGAACCAGCCTATACTTAACTGCCCTCTGCACACTCACACAGCATGCCCACACAACTGAGAGCCAGGCTGGAGGCTGCTTGGTCTCAGAAGGCTGCTTCTCGTGCCCCACGCTGCTTTGATATTTGCGAGCCGATGAGCTGAATATCACATGTCAGGGGTTGGCAACAGACAGTGGAAAGACAAAAAGCTGTTCCCAGTGCTTCACACGGAGACAGTATTGATCAAATTGTCACTTAGAAATCTGTGGAAAAAAAACAGCCTAATCCCCAGTATGCTCCTTCTCTAGCTGACTCCCAAAGCCCAATTTAAGCACTCCGTTTCCCTTTAAAGAACTTAAAATTAACCCAGTGATTGCTTTTAAATAGGAAATAAGAAATCAGAAGTGGCTAGAAAGTGTTCTGTGGAGTTTTTTCTTTACCCTTCTCAGTGAAAGGATATTCACTCCTCATCTCTACTTGGAATACCGTTTGTCTTTACATAGTCAATTTGAGACATCCTAGAAGAGAAAGCTGATATCCTCAGCTTTTTCTGGAAACTGGGACCCTGTAAGGATGCCTCAAGGATGACACTCAGAAACAAAGTCTTCCCAGTTTGCACAGTGCTTTCCGAAACTCTGCCAGCATTTTTAGTAGCCTATGCCTCAAAGAGTCTGGGCACCTTACCCAGAAAGAGCTAAAAATGTAATTTGCAGTTCTTCAAGTAATCCAAAACAAAGTATCAAATCCCTTCCCATCTTGGTTTGCCAGGGAAAGTCCCCATGCAGTGGAACTGGCCTCCTTCTGCAGCACAGGGGACAGCAGATGTAAATGGAGGGTGGAGTGGGAGAGTGATCAGGCTGTGCATAGTACTCAGCCCTACTTAATCACAGATGCCTTGCTCCAGAGTTAAGTTCCAAGTATTTCCATGGTGTTCAAACATAGAATTACCTGGCTGTCATTTGCTCTGGAATTTCAACCACTAGAGTTTCCTTGGCTGTTTTGCAGCTGATGACTTTTTCCATCATTTTAATACTCACTCAGCAGATACTTACTTGGTGTGGGTCACTAACCAGGCAAGAAAGTATCAACCGACTGCTGGATTTTCCAAATGTGAAGATTTGTGTGCCTGCGTACTGTGGCCACAGAGGAACAGCGTCTGAAGCGTAGAATAAATGTGTGTGGCAGTAAGCATGATGCACGTGACAAACATGTGATTTGACATCTGTCTGAGCAGCTTATCTTTCACTTTGTATCACAATGCATCCCTTCTGATTTTTTTTTTTTTTTGCCCCAGAGAAAGGGTTAATGAAAAATCAGTCAGAGTAAGAGTTAGAAGTGACTGTGAATAGTTCTGCTACAGGTGGACGTAGAAGGCTTTCATTAGTTAATTTCTTAACAGGTTAAGCTGAACGTTTTAAGAATTAATCGTTCTAAATTAATGACTAAATCATGTGTACTACTATCCAGATGGGTTGTGGTGAGGCCAGGGAGCTAAAGCAGAGTTACTGCTTCTGTCACAAGCCGTTTGGGCACCCAGCTTGCAGTGTTCTGGCTACCAGCTATTTGATAAGGCCACCATCGTGGTGGATTTCAGCAGCAACAGGCAGCAATGCCAGGTAGACCTGTAGAACAAATACCTTGAATTTTGACTTGAGACTAAGGAAAGATGATCAAAGTCATCACAAATAAATCTTTTAATATCAATTCTCCTTTCAAGCTGTAGTTAGGAGAGCTTTAGAGGTGTAAGGAGGCAACATGGAAAAATGTTTGTACTTCATTGCAGTAAACTGTGCCTTGTCCTGATGTCCAGATGTCCTGATGCTTCCAGAAGGATGTGGAAATAACTAGGCAAGGACATCAAAGATGGACATAGAAAAATGATCCATAGGAGCTGGATAATCACACTTGGGATATGAGTGATGTCAGGATGGTTGGACTTCATAAATGCATACGGAAAGATTGCTTAGAAGAAGGTTTAGCAAAGTCTTTCAAATTTCTGCTCAGAGAAGGTTTTTGATTTTATTTTTACCAGTTGACTAGAAAAAGCATAAAGTTTCCTACCCTGAAAAAGAGCAGCTTTAGCAAGTAAGAGGTAAGAAAGAAAGTTATATCCAGCCTTAGGCTCACTCCATATATGTTTTTAAGTGTGGGTTGTTTTGGATCCTTGAATTAAGAGACTCAAATCAGCTTCAGGTATTAGGCTTCAGCTGGCCACCTGAGGAGCAACGAGGAGCTCATCTGCAAGGAAATGTTAATCTCCTCCTACTCTGATGGTGCACAGCTGGCCAGGAGGATGGCCTTTGGGGTCTCTGAACAGCCAAAGAATCTAACCTATAGCTGGAGGCAGGACGCAGTAAAGGTTGGATTGGTGCAGTGAGGAGATGCAGACACTTTCTGGGTTGTCTGACATGCTTATCCCAACATGCAAAATCATGCAAACCACAAGGCATGGGGCTGGGAAATGGTTTTCCCCATGCTCAGTAGGAGGGCTCTAAGGAGCCTCTTGCCTTCCTGCGCAGCTGGGGCGTGACTCACTGCCAGGATCTTGCGAACATGTTGCAGTGAAGTGGTTCTCTGACCTTTCTAGGGTCTCAATTCAAGTGACATTCTGATTTTCTTTTCCCACCTCATAGGACACTAATCACTGCTTACACCTCTCAAGATACAGTGGTGAAGGCCTTAATGTCTTAGTGAAACAATACATAGACTTCTCAAGTGTCAGAGGAGGCTCAGGTAGTCCATCTTAAGCCCAGCGCTGTTGTATGTAAACATCTGTGCTTAATGGGTGTTTCAGAAATCCCAACCTCTTTTGCCCAGAAATAATCATTATGGTCACACAGTCTGACTTCCTGCATGGCGCAGCCCGTTCAGGCTCACCCCAAAATTTCTGCATTACAATTTCTGTACCTCCACATCCTGTGGCTAACCCACATCCTGTGTTGGGATTCTGTATTGGGTTCTGTATTGATTAGATTATGACTGGAGACAAATTTTTAGCTTGCATTTTCAGTAGTTTAGGCTTGCCTCTCTTTAGGTTTTTCGTGCTGGAATTTTACAGGGCTTCTCCCAGATATTCACCTTTGCCATTAAGTTCTTTAGCTCCTTCCTGCAAGAGCAATTTACATTATACTGGAAGTCTTTAGTATCCTTGCCCTGAGCTTGCACCTTCCATAGTGCTGTAGAAAAAAGTGTCTAGAAGAAGTTGTTCCATGTACAGCAGGACTAAATATCATTTTCCTTTGGATTTCTATCCTCTATAAATTCTATGTGGACTTAGGATGACCTGACCTTTCCTTATATCCTTTATGCCAAGTCTCCCTAAGGAAAGACAGGTGACTCTTATGCAGCTGTGTCTGTACTTATCGGTAAGTGCTTTGCAGCCAGAGTATGTAATATCTGAGTTCTTTTTTTTTTTCCCCCCGATGTCATCAGGACAGTAATTTTGGTATCTGTCCTTCAGCAGTTGCCAATTTTCACAAAACTGGTAAGAGCTTAATTTTCCTTGGGATTTTTACACTGGTCGCGATTGACAGATTTCAGAAGTTTTGGGGGGCAAAGGGACAAAGCAGAGAAACAGATGATTAGAAAGACAGCACAGACATGTAAATGCTTTTCCCTCGGAAATGAAGCTACAGATTCTTACCTAGGGAATTCATGGTTCTTTAAAATTGCTACCTCTGAGTATTCTTACTCCTTGTCTTCCTTCCTGTCTTTTTTTTTTTTTTTTTTTTTGAGTCTTCTCTTAAGGTCTTTGGGGATTTCATGAAAGAATGTGAAAGAATGGAGCCCTGTGAGGCTGTACAAAAAGTAAGGCCAAATTTTCATTGTTCAGAGGTGATATGTATGGGAAGCAGTAGAGAGCACCTTACTGTCAGGTTCTTAATGCTCTAATGTACTAAGAGTCCTCTCTCAAAATTGTATTGAATTATGCAGTTATGCAGGATTACTCTCAAAATGCAACCAGAATGACTAAAAAATGACCGCTTTTATCCCAGCAGTCACTCATGATTAATTGGGTACAGACAGTATGGTGACATCTTAAAATACAAGGTATATATAAATGCAGAGCAGTACTTTTACACTGATGTTATCCAGAAAGTTGGCTGATAGAAAACACATAAAATGCTTTTTAATGCATTGCAGTATGTGCAGGTTCAGGTGAAAAGAAACCTTGTAAGCATACCTAACAAAGAGTTTTAAGACCTTTATAATGGATGCTCCCAGTGCCTAAGTTTGGGTTTAAAGTGATCTGATTTTTAGACACCTCTCTATGATTATCAGAAGTAAGCTATATATTTATTTATTTACTCATTCATTTTTGTGCTCTGCCTGTCAGTTCCATCACCTCACAACAGTTCAGTTCTTAAATTCTTCACTGTTGTGGCGTTGGATAATCCTCATAGCTCTCCTATGGCTGTCAGCATTTGCCAAATGAGGAAAGGTAAACAGATGGCTTGTAGATCATAGAGGCATAGAATCATAGAATTGCTCAGGTTGAAAAAGACCTTCAAGATCATCAAGTCAAATCACAACCTAACCATACTACTCTAACAACCCTCCCCTAAATCACGTCCCTGAGCACCACATCCAAGCAGTTCTTAAACACATCCAGGGATGGTGACTCAACCACCTCTCTGGGGAGCCTATTCCAGTGCTTAAAAGCCCTTTCGTAAAGAAGTTTTTCCTGATATCCAACCTAAACCTCCCCTGGTGCAACTTGAGGCCATTTCCCCTCATCCTGTCACCAGTGAGAAGAGACCAGCCCCACTCTGCTGCAATCACCTTTCAGATACTGGAAGAGAGCAGTAAGGTGTCCCCTCAGCCTCCTCTTCCCCAGACTGAACAGCCCCAGTTCCTTCAGTCTCTCCTCACAGGCCATATTCTCCAAGCCCTTCCCCAGTCTTGCTGCCCTTCTTTGCACCTGCTCCAGCACCTCATTGTCCTTTCTGTGCTGAGGTGCCCAAAACTGAACACAGCACTCGAGATGAGGCCTCACCAGTGCCGAGTGCAGGGCAGGATGACTTCCCTGGTCCTGCTCACCATTCCTGATCCAAGCCAGGATGCCATTGGCCTTCTTGGCCACCTGGGCACACTGCTGGCTCATGTTCAGCCAACTGTCCATCACTACACCGAGGTCCCTTTCCATCAGGCAGCTTTCCAGCCACTCCTCTCCAAGCCTGCAGGGTTGCCTGGGGTTGTTCTGACAAAATACAGGACCTGACACTTGGCCCTATTGAAACCCTCAGTGAACCTCGGCCCATCGATGCAGTCTGTCCAGGTCCCTCTGCATTGCCTTTCTCCCCTCTGGCAAATCAGCACTTCCTCCCAGCTGGTGTTGTCTGCAAACTTACTGAGGGTGCACTCAATCCTCACACCCCTGTCAAGATCATTAGTAAAGATGTTAAATAGAAGCAATTCCAGTACCAAGCCCTACGGGGACACCATTCATGACTGGCTGCCAACTGGATTTAATTCCACTGACACAGCTGTCTGGGCCTGGCCATCCACCCATCCATCCATCCATCCATCCATCCATCCATCCATCCATCCATCCAGTGTTTCACCCAGCAGAGCGTACGCCCATCCAAACCGTGGGCAGCCAGCTTCTCCCCAAGGATGTTGAGGGGGGACAGTGTCAAAGGCTTTACTGAAGTCCAGCTAGACCACAGCGACAGCCTTGCCTTCATCCACTAAGCAGGTCACCTTGTCATAGAATGAAACCAGGTTTGTCAAACAGGATCTACCATTGGTAAACCCATGCTGACTGGGCCTGATCCCCTGGTTCACCTTGTACTGGTCTATGATGGCTCCCCAGATTATCCATTCCATAATCTTCCCCGGCACCAAGGTGAGACTGATAGGTCTGTAGCTACCAAGATTGTCTTTCTGGCCCTTTTTGAAGATGGGTGTCACATTTGCCAGTCTCCCATCCACCAGGTCATTTCTGGTTAGCCAGGACTGCCAAAGGATGATGGAGAGTGGCTTGGCAACCACATCTGTCAAGTCCCTCAGCACACCAGGGTGCAATCCATCTGGCATAATCCATGGACTTGTGAGCATCCAGTTTTCAGAACAGGTCCAAAACCATCTCATGGTGGATTATGCAGGGCCTATTCAGTTCCCCATCCCTACCTACCAGTGCAGTGGGCTGTGCTC